TATATCAGTTCCAACTCCCGTACAAATGTGCAACGCTCCCTTTAAACAGGAAAAGTCCATGTGCCGAACACTCCAGACGTAATAAATTATCGCCATCTGAACTTCATTCTCATGATAGCAGCCAGCTCATCATTAAAAGCGGATATTCCGCATTTAAAAATTTTGAGGCAAGCATCGGACATTATGAAATAGGCTCCGTCGTGACTATTGGTATGCTTTTAAGTGTAAAAGACCGCTGTAGACAGCACGGTTTTACTATTTAAAAAATTTGCTCCTCAAGGAATGGAATGCATATAAATCCGTGATTTTTACGATCTCCCCATTAACATGCTGGTTGTCCGGTTTTTTTACAGGGAGTGTTCCACATGCGTATGTGGTTTTGAAATGAGATTTTGTCTGCTTTGTTTTGATTGCAGAAAATATATATATGTATTCTAAGTGCTTATCTTTATCAAAAAATCTTTCATTGAGCAGCATGGTGGCCATGATCAGCGAGCGCTGAGGAACCTCTTGTGGGTGGGATTCTCCTCCAGCAACTTAGGGACCTAACTAATCGCACAGACCTCTCCCCCCCCCCCCCCTGGTCACGAATCGGAGCTTTTGATCGTTTGTTAGTCCTTCTGGTCATCGAAGTGTTCGGTTGGTTGCTGATGGCCCACTGGTCGTTCAGCGACCCATTTGGTCGCCAGCGCACAAAACGATCCTTTTGGACACCTGTTGGTTTTGTGAGTCGGGCTGGGAAGCGCTCAGGGGCTTGTAAGGCTACTGAGGGACCGCCCTCAGTAGCCTTGCGGGCGGCCACTGAAGAGCCCCCGACTATTGAGACGATCTCTGCATTATCAGGGCCCACGGCCGCTCAGAACCTTATTAGGAGGTCAGGGCCCCTTATATCCGCATGATCCTCTGGATACTCGTGATCCATTTAGCTGCACAGGGCCCATGTTCCCTGTCAAAGGTCGCCTGGTTACCGAGGAGCACCTCAATTCCTTTCAAAAGCGCTTCAATCTTTTCCGTGACCCTGTTTTGGAGATCCCGCCTGCTTGAGAGTGTGCCGAAAACCTGGGGTCCTGGATCAAAATCTTGACGGTCAAATTATTTTTTGGAAAGCTTGGATCAAATTTTGCTGTTAAAACTGAGCTGCTGATAATCACGTTAAGTAAACCTTTATACACGTTTCGCGCGGAAGGGATATTTAAGTGCGGGTCAAAAGGCCAATGCACGTCAGTGTCCAGTTACCAATTTCGGTAAGGCTTTAAGCGCATCATATTGAAAATATCACGCACGTAATACCCTCACGTGGTATGTGTGCAGGCTGTGGTTCAAGCAGATACATACAAATGAGTTTAACCAAACTCACAATTTCGCGCCTTCGGTGTCTCCAAATCAGCGACCTAATTGTTGCGATTATGTACGCAAAGGGTAACAGGAACGGCCAGAGTCGGCAACAGCTTATGACGTGATGGTGGAAACACATGCAATTTTATTGTTCAAACGGTGGGAAATCATGAAGCCTGAGTAAAACATTTGTGGCGCCTTCGGCTACCAACGCATGCAACAGTTTCAAAAGTTTGGCTGCAGCCGTAGGTGAGTGTTGTTTTTTTTTGTTTTTTTTTTTTACTTCCACTCAGCGTGACAAGAATATGAAACAACTGGTGTTTGTTTTCTTCAAACCGTTCTACCATTCCATCTTTCCGTGACCCCGATGCGTGCTTCTTCCAGTAAGCTCCCCACTACCTCGTACCCAGCATTTGCGCAGTCGCCTTCACCTCAATCTGAGCCCAACCCACAACCCAATATATTGCTTCTTCCTCGCCAGACAGCCCAGAAGCCCAGTTTAAACCCTTACATACCGATAACTGGAGCGTAGCGAAAGGCGCCCACTAGGCAAACATGTCGCGCCAGGCTTGGAACTTGCCCAAGGTATGGTGGAGGGTACGGTGATGATTGGGGTGAACCTCGAAGCGCACACGTGGTTTCCATAAGGGAACGTGGCCTAGAGGAGGCTCGCATGTTGGACGTTATCTCTCAATGCCGCCTGCCACCGGTTAGGGTTCTGCCATGTACTCAGCTGAGCTAGCTGTCGGAGTCCTTCGCCATTTTTTTCGCGGTCGAGGATAGCAAATCCAGCCGTAGATTAAGCTTAGACGTGAAACTCCAGCAAACCCCGAGGATGGAAGAAGACTGCTTTTGTGGTTGGACTGTCCTAATATTTGGGGCAGGTGTGCCAGCATTCTTCGCAGCAACAGTTATCCTGGAAACAGTTTAATGGAACTGTATAAATGAACGCTTCGATTGCGTGCATGCTATTGAAACCTACGGTGATGAAAGAAGCTTTTGGTGATGCCACGATTGCTGATGACGCTACTGGGCATGAACGTCGTTGTCATTTCATATCATATGGTATTGCGTTACCGTGCTGGTGACGATTTTGCCCGCAGAAACTTGGTCGGCGACGACAAAAAACTTTTACCACCTCTGCCCGGGTTCACCAAAAGCTCGCCCATATGGATACTTACTGTGTGCATCCAAGGCATGCATTCCTGAGAGGACACACGCTCAAAAAGTGCTTCCGCCATTCGTTGCACTAGCTACCGATCACAGCTGGACCAAAATAACCATTGCTATATGTTTTGATGGCTTGTATCAACAGCGTGAATTTGTGGTTGATGAAGTCTCTATTTTGAACTTTGATCTGAAATAACGGGTTTAATTGCTGACTTAGAAGCATTCAATTTATTACCTATCGCGCAATCTCGTAAGGAAAAATTCATTGGTGCTTCTGTAAGCTTCTATCTTTCTTACTTTGGAAGCGGCAGCGAGGAAAGGGTCTTCAAGACGGATATTTCAGTTTACAACCTATATAGCTATGGGGCACTTCCTTCAGGTTCAATGCCTGTATAAGTACAAGTTCAAACTTCTTCACACATATTTAAACCGGTATCTCTTGTAGAGTGGCTCTTTGCTTAGCTTGCTGTTAACTGGTCTTGTGTAAGACATTTGGTTTATTGGGGAAAGGGAGGATGGCATATTCCATCCCTTTTCGCGCTTATGTGTCCCCGCGCGGTAGCTTCCTTATTTGGTGCCATCACGTCCCCCTGGCGTCTGATTTTGAAGTTACCTAAAATGCTACCAATAGGGGCGCGATTCATCGTTTTCCGTCCGATCTATCACAAATTAGCCGTCAAACTTCGCTCAGCAGCCATCTTTTCGCCATGATGAAATGATTTGCAGTTTTTGTGTGTGTGCATTTGGTCCAATGGGACCGAATCATAAAGTAAAAGAAGTGTGAAAAGACGAACAGTACATGACAATGAAGCCAGCGCTTCCGGAATAAAAAGTCATCGCTGGTTTCATTGGGTCTTTGTCTAAAAGTGTTTGTGGTTGGAAGTGGTTCTTTCGTCGTTTTCACCCGTATTTAGATCAGGCGCGTCCGACTTCTTCTACCAATGTTTTCGAAGCATTTAGTCGTCCGGCCAAATTTCTAGAAATCGTTTTCAATAACTCAGAGCGCCGGTTTGAAACAGCCGCTCCGTTCGGAAAAATGCCATGTGAAAGCAATGCCTTCACTTGCTCTGTTTTTTTCAAGATGTGTGCTTCCTTTTGTTCACATCATACCGATTGGCCAAAATCTTTGTAGCATCAACGGTATGAGAGTTGGAACACTTTTAGGGAAAGGGATAGAAATATGAGTCCATTGATAAGCACACGACTTTACCAAAGCATCATACTGTGGCTTTGATTTCTCTTGCAAGGCGGTCAGCACAGTGACTTTTTCGAAGGGAGTTTTTCGTGTGGGACTCATTGTTTACTTGCAATCTCAGTGCGTTGCATGGCAACGCACCGAATGTACGCCATATTACAAAGAACGTACATGACAGCAAAAAATCACGCGATTCAATCACGCACGTTCTCGAACCTTCGCCAATAAGTTTCGCGCTAAATAGCTTACACCACCCTGGGTGCCAGTCACAAGCGTTCTTTTCTACTGACACCATGCATACCCATAAATATCGAGGACTTTTTCTGACCACCACAGCTTATGTGTGTACATGGCTTGAGTTAGCAGGGCATTGTTGATGTCTGCAGGATGCCTTTTTGTCTTTATTACGCCATTCGTCATAGAAAATTTGAGCGATATCGACCTGAAATCCTCATGTCGCGGGCGGGGCGGGGGGCTAGAATGAATATCTCCATTGAATGTCATGTAGGCATCAAGACTACCCACTCCGGGCAGGAAATCGGGAGTTACAGAAAAATGACTAAAATGTATTTTCTGATCGCACTTGCTGCAGTGAAAATCCCCGCTCGTATTGGGAGACACAACAGGTCCTGAGGAGATGTTTGTCCAAATAAGTTTGAGAAATGTGTTCCAAAGGTGGTACACTCCCGTCTATGACATTGCCTTTGAGCTTTATTCTTTGAGCTCTATGAAATTTGCCTCTGTTCAATCACGTAAATTGCTGAATGCGCTTGCGAGGACCATTATGTTTGTAGGTAAGACAGCGGTAATAGCCTTATTCCTCACAGACCTCAGATTTTTATCTTTCGTTTCGAAAAAAAATGTCGGCGTATTCATTCCTTTATTCTCCTGCTTTTTCTACGAGACATAGGGCTACTACTAGTGTCTTATCTATCTGCTCGATCACGTTTTATAGCGACATCGACCTATGTTCACATTTACGTGCATTGCCTGCCACTGCAACGATCGCGTCTTCTCTAAGCGTGGACGATTCTTGAAAACAATAACTTTAACTCGGACGTGTTATATAAGGTCAATGTATCACTCGTCAGCATCATCAGCTCACATGTGGCACATTTGCTCGGGGTACGCTCATCTGGCACTGCCCAAAGTTGCCGTGAAGCCTGGACTGGCGGCACCCAAGGCGACGTGCAGATGTTTAAGGGAAGTCTGCCACAAAGATCACATGCTTCATCTGCACTTCAGTCGCAGCCGATATCTCGATCTGTCGACGTGACGCGCGATAAATATACACGGGGCCTTAGGCCAGCACCCTGCATAGGGGCTCCCTTTCACTCGCCCAGCGCCGTCTCGCACCGACTGAGCATGCCGTCCTGACAGCTTGCATCACGGTCAGCAGGCAGACTAGCAAGGCCAGACCAGCCAGACAGGTCATCATCACGGGGAAGCCGTAGGCGTCCACGAGCAGGCCGCCAGACACGGGGCCCACCACAGTGCCGAGGGAGTAACCGGTCCAGTACACACTCGACACAAACGCCTGCGTCACCAGATCGTCCGCCAGGCCCTTCCGCACGCTCTCCTGCAGCATCTGTGAGAAGCAGGGGATGTAGGCGCCGCCGAAGAAGCCTTCGAGCAGCGTCTGCCCCAGGCCGAGGAGCCACCAGCGGGGTGCAGTGTTCAGCAGCGGCGAAGGAGCGATTAGCAGTAGGCTGCCTGTCGTCGCCAGCAGGCAGAGCGACATCTGCACGTAGGGGTTGCGGGAGTGCTCGGACAGACGGGCCCATATGAAGCTGGTCAGGGAATACACTGTCGTGGCCACCAAGAAATAGAGTCCCAGGGTTGACGGTGTGACGCCCAGCACCTTGTTGGCATACAGGGCCATGCAGGATTCGAACGTCATAAACACGAATGAGTAGAGGAAGACAATCATGAGGCACAGCCAGTTCTTGGAGGACCGACCGAACACACGCAGCATGCTGATGAACGGGACTGTGTTCCTCTCGCACTTGACCAGCGACGGCATCAGCCACTGGTTGAGCAAGGCCGCGCCGACCATCGTGCCGCCGAGTACGTAGAAGGGCATGCCAAAGCCGGCGACGGCGTACAGGCCTCCGCCGACGGCCGGTGCGACGGCGAGGCCGGCCGACTGGGCGGCGCCCACCAGCGCCACCAGCATGCCGGCCCGGTCGGCGAACTGGTTACCGATGATGGTGAAGGCGCAGCCGGACACGGCCGCCGTGCCGACCGCTTCCACCAGTCGCACCAGGAAGCAGGCCACCACGAAGGCGTCCTTGCCGTGGATGTAGTTGAGCGTGCCGAAGGTGATGGTTGTGAGGCCGGCCGTGGCGATGCCGATGTTGTAGAGCCGGGTGACGCCGACCACGGGCGCCAATCGGCCGACGAGGGGGCTGGCAATCATCTGGGCGACGGCGAAGCAACTGAACACGGCGCTGATGAGGGTCTGTGAGACGCCTCGCGAGGCCGCCTCCACCGGAAAGAACGGCACCATCACCGCTATCAGGGAGCCGTTTAGAGCGCTCACCACAGCTATTCCCCCCAGAAGTCTCTTCTGTGTCCATGACAACTTCTTGCCGGCGGTGCTGGATGGCTGAAGGCCTTTGCTGTTGGAACATGATGGGCTAACAAATGTGACTTCATTTGCTTCAGTTTTGTGCTGACCTCCATCATCTTGCCCTAGTATCATGTTTTCCTGAATCAACAACAGAGGAACTCTTTCCGGATCACTGGGCATCATGCAAGAGCTTGTTTCTTAGAAATGTAAACAATACTGATATTCTTGGATGACTTTGTGAACTAGTCTGGGCTATTACAGGTCATACGGTACCAAGCGATATCCTCGAATCTCGTACAGCATCTCTGCAGTACAAACGATCTGATTGACCGTCTTAGATCATCCTGCACACTGCATCATTCCTTAAAGGAATGATATTTGAATAGGCTTGTTGACGTCGTACGTTCGCTTTCCAGTCTACCAGATGATTAGCTTCCAGCGTTGCACACAGTATGGGGCAGAGCTGATGCGTCCTGAAAGAAAAGGAAAGCTGCCATTACGCGAGGCAATGAAGCAACATGAAGCGTCGTCATGCTAGCGTGTCGTGCCATGTCATGCGCAATGCCATACTTTCCAGTTGAGTTAGAAGTGCGGGCTGACATTGACGTAAACGGATCCCCTACCGGCGCAGGGGTGCGATAATTGGCAGACAAGCCCCATTTCGGCTCATCGACCACGGGGTAAAGCGGGGCAGAGTCCGGTGCCAGGGCACTCTGTTATGGGGACCTCTGTCATCGGGTCTTCCGTTGCCTCATTGTGGAACCCTTCATAGCCATTCCTCGTGTGTTCTTTCATTGTCAGTGTGCCCCGACTAGCGTGGAATATCCTCTGACACCCTGTGTGCTGTCCCTACCTATCCATGTTCAGCAAATGGTCTTCTTCACGACATATGATCCCCTGTTATGCACTATGAGTCCCCTGACCAGCACATAGGCCCCTCATTGTCTCAGATACTACCCTACCCTACGAACTCAGTGCCCCCTCGCCAGCTTCTGGTGTGTCACGGGTGGCTTCTGTGGTCCAGCGGGGGCGCCCTGATCGTTATTCAGAGCGGCCTCAACGGGTCACTACCATGCGCTTTTTCGCGCGGGGCGGCTCGCTGCACGGCGGCTGCAGGCCTTGCGGTCTCGTGCAAAAGTTCAGTCATCGACCCGGCTTTGCTCTGCGCAGGCGGCCAGGAGCAATGCGCCTTGGTGTGCCTGGACGTGCACGGCGCCGGTGGATGGGCTAGGACCGCGTGGTACCGTCCTGGCCTCGCTGTTCACCGTCCGCACGTATCGCCGTCTTGGCTTTACGTAGCCTCGTTCTGCACACGTGACGTCTTTTCTTCGCACAGAGTGTATAGGCAGAGACAGAGCGGTAGACATCACTGCTGCATTATTGCTCTCCTGACATGGCGAAGTCCACCGGTCCTGCCAATGATGTGCGCCGCTCACAAGCGGGTCCACGCCTGGCGGTTGGCATCAGTATTAGTAGTATTGATGGCTGCCGTCGATGGCACTACCTTCGCGTGTCGGCTGGCGGGCGCGGCAGGGTTTGTGAAGCGTTGTCGTGTGTTCAACAAAATGTCGATGAAGCAAAACTTCAGAACGAAGCAATTTATGCCATCATGGACACACAAACAGGTACTCATTGGAAATGCGCGGACCACTTTACGCTGGTAGCATGTATAAACATGAAAGCATGCAATCTCTGGGCCTAAATCAGGACATTGATTCAATACCTATCATTGTGTGACTAACTAGCAAGGTCACTCGTTCACTTTTCTCATACTAAGGCAGCTACCAACAGCGGCAAAGTACTTGCAGGTCGAGGCCACGGAAAACAGATAACTCTAAAAAGCATGACAACCATGACAAGCTGCAAGGGTAGAAATAATGGCAAGATCTACTTTAAAATATGTCGGAGAGCGGATGTCTCCCCAAACGGTTCCGCATTGATGAAAATTTACTCTCCAGGGAGTTTTCTAGAGAATAAATTCTCTGAAAGGCGTGAGAAGGGTTCCCGGAATTCATGGGATCACTTTTTGAGGGTTGAAAATACATCTATAAGGTTGTTGTATGACTCCCGAAGAACTTTAATGCGGAAGTCTTATGACACCGCGCAAGGGTCACAGTGGGGTCATGGAAAGCAAGACACTATGCAAAGAGTCAAGATGCCCCCGACGACATTTATGCGGCGAAATCAGCTCACTTCTGACTATTGGTTAACCTTGAAGTCGAAAAGACTGCGCTAGAAACAAAATTTCTCTGCTCAATAAATGTGCTCATCAATACGCTACTGTTTGATTGCATTATGGAGCGTTTATATGACAGCACTCACTTGTAGTTCTTCGATCACCCGAGGGGTAGCCAGCGGTGTTGCTGGGTATATGCTAAACCAAATAGCATTAGGTGCTCGTGTTTTGGTCCTTCCCCGTGATGTCCTTGCAAATTGATCGTTGAGTCAAAGGTACCTAATTATGTTCACATGCCGGGGGTTTTCTGAGTTATTCGATTGCAAATCTTATTTTCGTAAGAACTAGGAAAAATGCATAACTTTTTGCTTCATGTACCAGAAAACGCAATGCATCCTAGAGCCTTGCCTGGCCTGCACAAAATTCGTTCCGAGCCAAATGGTGGGCGTTGTGCATCTGGAAACCATGCTCACGAACATTTTTATGAACGGCTTAATAATTGTATGTTTCTTAACTTAGAACACCGCATAGCCAGTAAAACGGCAGGATTTTAATGCCGTTAACATGGCGTCATGGATGCCTGGGAAACCTCGAAAAAGTCTGCACAAAACGATCTGCCCATCTTCGCCGGCGTTAACTTCAGAGCCTAGAGGGTTTTACGTCTTAGGTTGTGGATATTTCTTCAGATCCAGGTCTTTTAGTGAGGACGACCCCAATAGATTTTAGGCACACGCACCCGGGTAGCTAGTTGAATATTAAGCGCTCTAGTAGGATGGGTGGTGCAGGCTTAATTTGACCGCCACGAGATCTCAAAATTATTAGAGCTTGGCATCAAATTTTCTAGGTAGATAAGCCATTATGTGAATTCCCTTGTGTGAGATTCTGAGACATTTGGGTCAAACATTGAGATACTTAGGTCCTCGGGTCAAATAACGTCAAACAAGGTCATCATCAAGTCGAGTGCGAGTCAGCACAATCGAAGGTGATATTCAATGAACGTGAACTCAGTGGACATGGACGTGAACACATGATATTCAATGAACGACCGTACGCGGGATCCGTCAGTTTTCAAGAGTCCCGAAGAAGGTCTAGTAGTTGATGAAAAGGCTCGTTTAGTGGATAAAGCAACTGACATAGCGGGTGGGTTTGTCCGTGGTATGAGTGCAGGCAATGGATCTTGATTGACGCTTTCATTGGCTCCGGCGACAGCGAAAAAAGGACACTTCGTGTTTTTCTTGGGTGTTCGAACTTGTTGACCCAGGTAAGCTGCTGTGTTTTCACGTATAGTGTTTAAGCTCTCCTGTGGTTTGTAAAAATATGGTGATAGTCTGCTTAAATGCCAGCTGATCTGGCAGTTCGGATGCTCCATGTGGCCAAGTCGCCAGAATCCATATATTGTCGAGTTTTCAATGATAGTCGTCGGTATGCTAGTTTTTGCCAGGTTTCTAATTGTGGTGAAGACCATCTGACCCTGTGGTCGACGTGGTTCGTTTGCTGATGCCGGGCAGTTTGGTGGGGTCAGCGAGGTCATATGCCGTCTGATTTAGCTTGAAGGGGTACTTTGAAGTATCTAACATGACTTGACTTGCAGGTTGACCGTCTGCTCCATGCGGCTTGTTAACTGATGCTGGACAGCTGGGTTGACTTTGACTGATCTCCCAGTTTGGATTATTTCAATGTCAAAATACACCCTGATTTGTCCACGTTGTGTGTAAGTCTGGTGAAAAGGCATGCAAGCTGTATAGGTGTGACGGATGGTTGGCCAAATGCATTTGGGGAATGCAAGGTGGGCAAACGCGACCCCGCTTACGGAGCGTTTTAATCGCAGGTTATCATCAGCAGGTCAAAAATCCCTGTCATGTATAAATACTAAATGAGCACTAGAAACTCTGCCGTACAGCGAAATCTCGAGTAAAAAGGCAGGTTGATTTTTACCTAGGCCTGACCTTTATACCTGGTCCTAGGTCTAATAAATTTGTTGTAATCCTAAGTTTAATTGTTTGATTGCGTAAAAAAGTATCCCAGAGATGCATTGTTTTGTCCAGGACTCCGTTGTAGCATCAGATTGCGCGAGTCCATAGAAATTACACTAGCTGACAACCATGACCTGATTTTGACCTGTCATAGGTCAGTGACCTTATAAGGTACATCAAAATGTGTTATTCCAAAAGATTCCCTATTCCACGACCTACAGCAGTGCAAATTTTGTGCTGCTGCTCTGCACCGTTCATAACTTATTCCGTAGAAACTTTTTGGGGTTAATTTGAACTGCACCCAGGCGCGTGCTAATGAATTGTGACACTTCATTGTATTATATGCGTGCGTTAGATTGTTA